TGCCTGGTTGGGTCATGAAAGGTCTGCAAGAAAAGCACCTCACGGTTCAACCCTGAATTACAAATATTCTGTCCTGCCCCTGTTGGAATCTGATTCCGAGAGAGAGGTCGCAGCAGCTGACAGGGAGTGGGAGTGTGTCTCCGGTGGCTGTGGCGGAAACGGGGGAAGGGCACAGTCCAGCTGGGCCTTCAGAGGAAGACTCTGGCCCACCCCCTCTGCATCTTAGGGCACGCTGGGAGGAACAGAGAAGGGAGCAACATTGGCTTATGGGAGAGGAAAGGGCCCTGATTCCCTTCATGAGCTGCAGCTGGGAAAACAGGATTTTAAAAGGGTGTTTGCGCACAGCGCCTTGCTGGAAGCAAAGCGTGAATTATCTTGATTTGTCAAGTCTTATCTGGGTTCTGGCATCCTCCCAACTGTCTGTTTTGTTATCTTTGGAAGTCTGCAATTCCTTATCCTGCCCTGTCTCGTTAATTGCAGCAGCATGGTTTGTGTTGGTTTTTTATTTATAGTTTAGATGTACTTTGGGTTCAGACTGAATTTATTCCCTTTAAAAACTGTTCTTGGGAGAGTTTTTTCTCCAGACGATGATAACTGGACACTGGGGGCCAAGTTGGAGGCATTAAAGGGACTTTACCTACTTTTGTGACTTTGTTGCTTTTGTGACATGCCCCTTTGGGTCATCACATATTCTCTTCTACTGGTACTAAATCACAAAACAGATAGAAGTTCATGCAATTTCCAAGTAGGGCATAGGTTTCCTGAAATATCTCCCCTATGCTGTCACATTATTCTACTCCATTCACTCATATTTCTAAAGATTCTGAGGCACTGTTTTGGAATTCAGTAATTGATAAAATTGATAAAATCTGCCTAAGCAAGGGACTTTCCACATAGGACTACTCCAAACACAAGCCTCACCAAACAATCACAGTAAGTGGACAAATAAAGGTAGAACGATTGTTTCTTGCCATATCCCTTAGGATTTTAAACCCATCTTAGCCATCATTTGTTCATAGACAGTCCATGCCATTGCTGCCATCAGGGTGCGCCGCAAAGCTCGTGGAACAGCACCATGGAAAAAGCCAGCCAGTCCATAAGTCTGTAAAAAAATAATAACCATCATCATCTTCTTAAACATCAGTTCTGGATGATAGTTATTAAAGATTTATCTTTAACCAAAGGTGGAAATAGAAACTAGTATATAGAAGTCACTTGATCATCCTGTGATAGAATGAGTTAACAATATTTTTTATTTATTAATTTTTTGCCATCTTACCACATACTGTTTCTCACAAAATAAGGCCGGGCCTTTTTTTTTTTTTGACCCACGAAAAAATGGCTAGGCCGTCTTTTGGGGGGTGACTTAATTTCCCCCCCCTTGCATCCTCGGGCGGGCGGGCGGTAACGGCTTGGATGTTGACTTCGGCGTTGGTGGGGCACTTCGTATCAGGAGACACTCCACCACTGTTGCTTTCCCTTCTCCCCGTGCTGCCACGGTGTTTAGAGCAATGCCGCAGTGTTTGGCGCAGCCATGCGCGGCCAACCAGGGCTCCTCCTTGCAACCGGAGCCCAGTGGAGACACTTGGCTTCAGGCGCTCCTGGCACCACCTTCCCTTCGCCTTCGAAGGCAAAGCCAATTCTTTTAAAAACGACGCCCTACTCCTGGTACAACAAACCCTCTTCTGCCCAAGAGGGCAGCCCAACTCCACGTAGGGAGGTGAATCTCCCGGGGCCGCAATGCAGGATCGGCCCACCCTGGGAGAAGCGCCCCGCCGCCATCCCTGCCTGGCGCCGGGCAGAGCGTGAAGAGCTTCACCTGGGGTGCCCAGCGCAGCTGACAGGCGGGCCCTCCTGCCCAGCGGCGGAGCTCTCGCCAAGGCAGCGAGCGCCTCCCTGCCGGGCCCTTCGCTCATCCCGCCAAGGCTGCGCCAGAGCCAGGTGGGCTGGGCAGAGCCGGGAAAGTGAGCCGCGGGTGTGCGCCCGCCTGCCAAGCGAAAGAGCCGGGCTGACCCTAGCTTGGCTTCCTTCCCTAGTCCCTCCAGCCCGAACCCGAAGGGCCCACTGGGAGAAGCCGCCCGAGGCAGTGATAGCGCCCACCCATCCGCGGACAAGGAGGCGAGATGATGGCCTGCGCCGTGTCCTCCTCTGAGCTGACACCCGCCGAGTGAGCGCCTCTGCCCGATGCCTGTGCCGCTGCAGTGTTTGGAGCTGCCAGAGCATTTCGAGCTGTGTGGGGATGGGGACGGGGTGGGCGAGGGGTAGAAAGGATGGGTGGCTTTGGGCTCTTTCCGCTGGACCCGCCGGCCAGGGAAGCAGCGCTGCCGTTGCCTCACCTCCCTGTCCGCGGATGGGTGGGCGCTATCACTGCCTCGGGCGGCCTCTCCCGGTGGGCCCTTCGGGTTCGGGTTGGAGGGACTTGGGAAGGAAGCCAAGCTCGGGTCGGCCCAGCTCTTTCTCTTGGCAGGTCATGAGGGCCTACCTGTCATACCCGCCGGGCATGAGGGCCCACCTGTCAGCTGCGCTGGGCACCCCAGGCGAAGCTCTTCACGCTCTGCCCGGCGCCAGGCAGAGACGGTGGCTGGGCGCTTCTCCTGGGGTGGGCTGATCCTGCGCTGCGGCCCCGGGAGATTCGCCTCCCCACGTGGAGTTGGGCTGCCCTCTCGGGCAGGGGAGGGTTTGTCGTACCAGTAGTAGGGCGTCGTTTTTAAAAGAATTGGCTTTGCCCTCGAAGGCGAAGGGAAGGCAGTGACAGGAGTGCCTGAAGCCGAGTGTCTCCGCTGGGCTCTGGTTGCAGGGAGGAGCCCTGGCTGGCTGCACGTGGCGTTGCTCTAAACGCCGCAGCAGCACGGGGAGAAGGGAAAGCAACGGTGGTGGAAGGTCTCCCGATATGAAGTGCCCCACCAACGCCGAGGTCAACACAGGAAGCACCATATCTGGGTATGCAACAAAAGTACTTCCTAACGGCAAGCCCCCCCCCCCCCGCTATTCCCCCCCATTTCACATGTTTAATATAGGCCTTAATTTGGGGGGAGGGGCTTAATTTGATTTTATGCCTATAAAACATGCTGGGACTTCCTATTGGGGGAGGCCGTATTGTCGGAGAAACCCGGTATGTCAAAACTATGTATCTATTTCTTCTAAGAGGATGCAACTTCATCCAAATCAATCCAATCAATCCAATAAATAAATCTTTCATCCAACAAATTTCCCATTCCAGGTATTATCCGCCTCAACCTAGTATCGAGGTAACATTTGAGAATATACTCTTGATTGACATACTACAAAGAACTGTCACAAGCCTATCGATTAATTCTCAAATTCCTAATTCCCCCACACTCTACTCTGAGATGTGAAATAGCATTAAACATAAAAATGTGAATAAAAGATAGGAGTTACGCTTCCTCTGTTTCTTTTCCAAAAGAGATCATTTATCAATAAACCATGGCTGTTCTGTCCCAAAAACCAGAACGAAGACAGTTTAAGTGATTTATGTTCTGCAAGTATAAATTAAATAATTTATGTCCTATAACGATCACTGGGAATCAAATAGGGCTCTAGTTGTTTTGGGTCTGCACCTAAGATGCCTATTACTATTGGTATTATTTTTGCTTTCTTTTGCCATGATTATTCTACTTTTATTTGCAGATCTTTGTATTTTGTGATTTTCTTCAGGTTTTTTTTTTTTATCTTTTATTCTGATGCCTCTATGTATTGCTGTGTCCATGATGCAGACTTTGTCTTTCTTATCAAAATGGTTAAGTCTGGGCTGCAGGTGCTTTTCTGTTTGAATTCTAAAGTCCCAGCTTCTTCATTTTCGATTACTTTGCCCATTGTGGTTCCATCCGTTCTCGCTTATAGAAAATGGTATTTCTTGCCAAAATTCCAATGCATCGCTGTGGCTGCTATGTCCTGCTGGTGTCTGTAGTCCCATCTGTGCCATTTTCTTGCAACAGCTAACAATGTGGCCCACTGTTTCTTCAGCTTCTTAGCAGAGGTGGCATTTGCTGTCTACGTCTGTCTTCTCGATTCTGGTTTTACATGCATTTCATTTTAAGGCTTAGTATTGGGTATCTGTCTCTTTCTTCAACTTTTCTGCTCTTAGCTCTTGCCAAGTCTTGGGCTGTGTATTTTGCCTGCTTTCTTTCTTTCTTTCTTTTTTTTAATCCTGGCAATATGCTGTCCTTGGAGTTATCTGAGCTTGGAGACAGGCAAAAGACTAGCAGAGCACGTTCATGAATACCCCACTAGCAATCCGAAGACACAAAGAAAACTCCTCAATTTCACAACACAGAGTTAACTCAAGCTTCAACTGGGAAACTATGAACAACCTAGATCAAACTAAATCCCAAAATGCTAGGGGATTCTTGGAAGCTTGTCCTTAAGACAAAGCAGCCATCAACAGGCTCATATTATACATTTATGCATCATTCAAAACAGACGATGAAAAGCTAAAAAGATTTTTTTTTAGAATACCTCCTTGCCAGGAATTAATATCCAGATAACCAGGGATTAACACCAGTAGCAACATTAAATAAACCATCAACCAGTCAACAATATCCTAATTAGGAATTGCCAACTCAGACAAACAATCAAGCAGTGAATAGTCTAATTAAGGAGAAAAGAGAACCCCCATCAGCACGAATGGGCAAAATACTGTATACAACAAATATAGCAAGATAATATAAAGGAGAACAAATCCCATTCCCTTCCAACACTTAAGATGTTATTTAGCCTGATAATGAAGTATCTGCATTAAAATAACCGATCTCAGAAAGCACCAAGGACTTCACAATTCCACCCTGACATACTGTATTTTTCGGACTATAAGGCACACTGGATCGTAAGATGCACTTAGAAGGAAAACAAGAACAAAAAATAGGTTTTGCCTCCCTGATGTCCAAAAAGCACTCTGCAGGTGTTCTGACCCAAAATTTGTTCCAAGGAAACAAAAACCAAATGGAGGTAACAGTAAAACCTTTTCATGATTCTTTATGAATTCCGTTCCTTCCTGGTTAAAAGGCTGTTTCAAACTAATGGTCTCTGATAAGAACGAGCCTTGCCAAGGTGGTGCAAGGCTGCCAAGAACACTAGATAAAGTTGCTAAGAAATATTTCAAACACCAATCAAGTCTCCAAATGTCTCCAAACACCAATCAAGATACTCCAACGTCCACAAGACTTGAGTGCAAAAACTTCTTTGCTTCCTGCAAAGAACTGCAGTTTCTCAGCTGGCTTTTATCTCTTAAGGGAGGGGCCATTACCTTGTAGCCTTACTCCTGAATTGCCTGTGCTGCTGCAGCTGCTCTTTCCTTCGAGCAGCCCTGCGCGCACGCACACTGGGCACAGGCTCCTCGGGGGCCTCTTCATCACTGCTGCCAGCCTTCACAATCTCTGAAGGCAGCACTCCGCTCCCTGATGGTCCTGGCCCCATCCCCGCATCACACGCAGGCCCCTCATCTGAGTCCTCGCTCTCCGAGACCTCAGCCGTCCGCACCTGCCACCAGCAAATCACAACAGCAGGCCAAAAACGGGCCCGTTGTTGGCCTCTGGAGGCCTCCGCAGGTTCCATTTTTGCCCTCTTGGGGAAGCCGAAAACAGGATGTGCGGAGGCCTCCTGTTCTGACCCAAGCCTCGTTCAAATCAAACAAACACAAATTGTTCATAAAAACAAACCTCTTTTACTCCGGCGCTGTGAATTCTACGCATTCAGAGCCAAGAATAATTTCAAATTAATTGTCCCAGATAAGAGCCAGCCCTTTCAAGGTTGCGAAAGGCTGCCAAGAACGAAAGACTAATTGCAGATCGATATCCAAAGCCAGAAGTTTCCAAAAACAAACCGGAGGACGAGAACTCTTGAGCATAAAGAACTACTTTGCTTCCTGCAAAGAAGCCAACCCCGAAGGCTAGTTTTTATCCCTTATGGGAGGGGCCATCACCTTCCAGCCTTACTCCCGAGTCGCCTTTCCTTTGAGCAGCCCTGCGCACACGCGCACTGAGCACAGGATCCCTGGGTCCCTCTTTGTCACTGTTGCCAGACTCCACAACCTCCGAAGGCAGCACCCCACTGTCCGATAGTCTTGGCCCCATCCCTGCATCACATGCAGGCCCTTCATCCGAGTCCTCGCTGTCAAGAGACCTCAGCCGTCCGTACCTGCTGCTGGTGAACCATAACACTTCCAGAGGCTAAAAACTAGCCTGTTTTGGCCTGCAGATTACTTCTGGACACCGGGGAGGACAAAACGGGGACCCGCAGAGGCCAAAAACAGGCCCATATTAGCTATATAAGACGCACAGACATTTCACCCACTTTTTGGGGGTGGGGGAGTGTGTCTTACAGTCCAAAAAATACGGTGTGTGTGTGTGTGTGTGTGTGTATATAAATACAATACACCATGGCAGTCATGGTGATAATTAGTTTCCTTGAAGGGTTCCTCTCTCTTTGGACAAAATCTAAATTGTATCAAAAGCAATCGCAATCCCACAATAGAACAGGAACCAACACTATGCTTCAGAATGCTAACTGTTAATTAATGGAGGTAATTGGACTAAGCTGTGGTATTCACAACTTCACTGTGCCAAGAGACATCAGATCTGTCACAGCAAGAACAGAAAGCTGGATTAAATTGGCCCTTGATCTTACCTTCTTATGCTGTTTGCACAGATATCTAATCATTGCAAAATCCTGCTGAAATTAATGTAGGAATACTTTTTCAGAAACATGACGAAAATGAAGTCAGCTATCAGGTTATTTTAATTAAGGAATATTTTGCTGCTGGTAATTTAAGAGCCAAAATATTGTTAACTACTTAATGCATTCAGCCTTACCCTAAATATTAAGGCAATGGTCTGGCGAGTCTGAAGGTATTTTTCAGATGACAGTTGCATGTGTGTTTTGATGACATCAGCAGGCTGAGTAGCTAATGAGGCCAGAATCCCAGCCACAGTTCCACAACCAAAGTTCATAAGTGGTGCAACGGTTGTATCTAGTTGGCCTGGAAAACAGCAAGCAAATCCATAAAGTTGTTTTATAATTAATTGCTCCAAAGAATAAGTAGAACCAAATCCTTTATGTCACATCATAGGCAAGACTAATTTAGAGTCAGTATTTTAGAAAACCCAAAATTCAAACTGAAAAGGAGTATAATTGGAAAATGAAGTGAAGATGGATTTCTGAAGGCCCTGAACTACACACCAAAATTATGACAATCCTAGCAAAATGTTCCATGTTTTGAAAATGGCAAAACTACTGCAAACATTTGAACATACAGTATCATGTTTGCTTCACTCCTATTTATGTAGTTAAGAAAAATTCTTTTCAGCATCATTTTCCTCTTACATTCACCAGCTGTGATTAGGTACACAAATAAGAAACAAATTAAATTCCAGAAAGTTATATGACAATTCGGTTTAAATTTACATTATTAATTCTACATTCCTGAAAAATAACTGTTATAAAATTTCTAATATTGCTTGAACATAAAGATCAATATTAGAGTCAAAGGACATACAGGTACCTCCTTTTTTCAACCTCTAAACAGCATGTCTTGTGTGAGAATTGTTATGTCTAAAGCATTCAAACTGAAACACGATTAATTTTTACATTCTTTATACCAAGCCACTCATTCTTCCCAATGGCTAAAAGATTCACGGATCCAGAATTATTATGCTACAAAAACAAAGGTTATGATTTAGAACACCAAAGAGAAGCATAACCTGTGTGGACTCAAAGAATATTCAGTTTTGGGCAATTTAAAACCTAAGAACAATTACAAGGTACTGGTTTTATGGAACAAGCGACATATAAAAAGGACATTTAAAGATAAAGATGTAAAAGATTTCTTGCCACAAAATCTCATATGGAAACTATTTAATCGATCCTAAATGCTACAGAAGAAGCCACAGAACCTGTTCACTTACCATAGGATGCAAGCTTTTGGGTCTGTGTATAGAACATCAGATAGATGCCAGAAAAAGGGGCGTCACGAAGAAGTGTTGCTGACAGGCCACTAAACAAACCCCGGGCTCCTTCTGACCGATAGATATTTCTCAAGGCTCCATACACACTTTCATAGCTGTATTTTCCACTCTGTAAATCAAATGTAATTTATCAAAGTGAACTTCTGCCAAACCTTAAAATAAATAAGGAGCAGAAAAAGGTTCTACGTTACAAACTATCATATTGGAACCATTATATATGGAAGCAATTTGTTATGTTAGAAGGATTTATATCAGAGATGTTTACAAAATCATGGCATTAATATTCCTGACGGTTTCTGATATTGCTAAGCTTATTCTATGGTGATTTTTTTTAGTTGTTGCTATAAGTTGCTTAGAGTTGGAAAGAGTAAAGTAACACAAAAGGATTAGAAGTATATAAATAAAATTTTCCAATAAAAAAGTAAATAATTCCTCACCTCATATCGTGTTTTTACTACTGTGATGGGTAACATACAAATAACAGCTACAGTTCGTGAAGTTGCACCCAAAAGAACTGATTCCAAAGCAGTAGGAGAGCGTTCCCAGAAAAAATGATGTTTTATCATATATAAGGTGCTGAAGTAAATCCCAACTCCTGGAATGCATCGTGCAAAGGACTGCAAAGAGATGGCAAGCAGAATACACAAAGAGAGAAAGACAATCATGCAAAGAGACAAATCTAAGGATATTTATTGGCAATTTTTTTAATTTTTATTTCAAAAGAAGTGAGGCACAATATAGATTTTTCCCAATTTTATAATGTTGCATTTCATACAAGAAACTCAAGAAAGTTGTATGAAGTACGATAGGCTGGGCATTGGCCAAAGGCAACTTGTCTAAAGTCATTTCATCAGCTCCAAAAGTGAAGTGGAGATTTGAACTTCCACGGTCTTTAGCTCTAATCAGATATTTCAGCTCCTGTATCTAAATTTCAAGCTTCAAAAACCAGGGCACTTTTGTCACAATGCCCTTAATCAAACTAAAGGAATCACAGAAGACATGAGTGAGGAAAAATTGCCACTGCACCTTTGGGAAAGAGAATACTAATCAATACTTTTAACAATATGTATGATCAAATAAAGCAGTATTGGAATCTAATCACCAGAGAGATATGTTCCCATATTGTGATTAAATGGGTACTAATGTCAAATGAATTACACTTCCATATAATCCAAATAACCAGAAATTTATGTTTGTGAGAAACAGCTGAAACATTCTGTGGCCATGTTCACTCAGCGTGTGGTCTAAAAGTTGGTTAGACTGTAGCTTAGAGTATGGCAGGAACCTGGCCATTGTTTCAGCATAAAAGAACCTGGTTTATCATGGTTTACTCTGATCACATATAGTTTACTTGGATCTCTACATCACCTGAGCATTCACTTTCAGACTTCCAAATTCTATTTTGAAAGCTCTATGGCCACTGTTATCACTTGGCTCAACAATGTTCAAAGAAATGTTACTTTGAGCCACTGTTGGATATATTCCTGAATTGGTTGCTACTAGCTTTTAGTGGCAAGGATTAAGGTTTCTTATGGATTCAAATCAAAATAAGCTCACTCCCAAAAATCCAATTCAAGCAACAAAAAAAAGGTCACACTACTTATTAGAGAAAACTCACGGGAGAAGCACCTTTCCACAGCCCAAATATGCTTTCTGTATGAGCGAGTTTGAAGAGTAGAGGTATCATCTTAATACGACCTGATCTGGGGGGGGAAAATATATATTAGATATTAGAAACAGGTGAAGCTCAACAACCATTTATTACAGCTTCTCCACCAGGGGACCTTCTGAATAACAGCCTCCTTACCCCACTATCCCCCCCCCTCCATAAATACCACCAGCAAATGTACTGGCTGTAATTATGAGATTGAAAATTTAACCCCATTGGAAGGTTCCCAGTTCAGAAACATTCTCTACCAAAATAGTTGATACCATATGCAAGCCATTCTTGAAACCCAGCAACTTCTATATGCACTGGAACCATAACATAATTCCGATCCAGCTTTGGTAAAGATCCACTGGAGACCAAGACACTTTTTTCTGAAGTTAAAATGAGTTTTTATCTACTGATTCCCAATGCCACCATTGGAGAAAAATGCAAATTTTGGCTATTTATTCCACTACAAGCAACCATGTAGAGAAACTATCTTCCTGAATGTAGGAGTAACTCAGATATGCTAGCTAAATGTTTTTCTCTTTGCACAACTGAGTTGAGATTCATCAATAAAGCCAGCCTGGACTCAGGCAAGGCATAACACCAACTTTTCCTATAAGAAATTGCAATAGCACTTATATACCGCTTCACAATGCTTTTACAGCCCTCTCTAAGCAGTTTACAGAGTCAACATTTTGCTCTGAGTCCTCATTTTACCAAACTCAGAAGGATGAAAGTCTGAATCAACTTTGAGCCGTTAGGATTAAACTCCTGACCATTGGCAGAGTTAACCTGCAATACTGAATTCTAACCATTGCACCACCAGGACTTCTAACGCATACCTTTTATTCAGTAAAACCCAAATATGGATGTTTTCACTTGTAAAACCATGTAAAACCTAGGACTGTACTTTGCCTGTCTCATTGTTATATCAGTTTCACCCTTTCACGTCTTGATTTTAGCCCAGAGCTTTAAGGCCAACAGCAAAAGAATCTCCAGTAAATATTTGAAATACTTGCCCACTGACAGTTGACTGCAAAGTCTGCATCCTAGTTTTAAGCAAGTCAAGAGGCTGGAAGAGCAGGGTGGAGCAGGTTCCACTGATTGAACCACAAAAAAAGGCTTTTAGTACAGGATGCATCTTGGAAGAAAAACAAACAAAATTAGATTGTATGCACAGTCAAAAATTAAAGCTATACATTTTTTTACTAACCGTATTCCAGACTTTCTAGTCATAAAAATAAAGATTAGATTAGGTAATATTTAATAAGTATAAGTAATGCCGCTATAGAGCACTGCACATCAGAACAACTAGACAAAAGAACAGTTTTTTCCCGAAAGCCATCACTCTGCTAAACAAATAATACCCTCAACACTGTTCAACTATTACAAAGTCTGCATTACTATTACTATTAATCTTCTCATCACTCCTTATCGCCCATCCCCTCCCACTTGTGACTGTATGACTGTAACTTTGTCGCTTGTATCCTTACGATTTATATTGACTGTTTCCTAGTATGATTTGATTGCTTATTGTACCCTATGACTATCATTAAATGTTGTACCTGATGATTCTTGACTCTTGGTGAAGGTATCTTTTCTTTTATGTACACTATAGCATCGTTTTGAGGATAGGAGTTGAAACAGTTTATGTCCAGGATGTGAGGGGTACGTAAATATTTTCACAGCCCTCTTTTTGACTTGTGCAGTATTCAGGTCCTCCATGGAAGGCAGGTTGGTAGTAATTGTTTTTTCTGCAGTCCTAATGACTCTCTGGAGTCTGTGTCTGTCTTGTTGGGTTGCGGAACCAAACCAGACAGTTATAGAGTGGCACACCGTGACCAACAGCCCGGGGCCTTGCGTAGCTGGCCAAGCCGCGGCGATCGCTTGTGGGGCGGTCATTGTGCTTCCGAAGCCCACGGCGCTCTTTCCTGCCACCCAGCCTCGCCCCGGGGAAGGAAGAGGAACAGCTGGGCCCAGTGCCTCGATGCGCAGAAGGCAGAGGAAAGGAAAAGAGAGCAGTGGAAATCTATGGGCCGGTCCTTGGGACGGAAGAGCCAC